ACTGGAAGAATTTGGCGCTAGCAAACAGAGCTTGGCGCCAAGTTTTAGCTGTAGCGCCTGGCGCCAATTCTAGCGTCTGGCGCTACAGTTAAAATTCTGGCGCCAATGCTCTGGTTGCTGACACTAATTCCTACATGCCTCAGCAGCTTTCTGTGATCGATAAAATTTTCCAGTTTCGCACAGTGTTATTTCGGTCCTAGTTGTGAAAGATATTTCTCAAATTTCCTACGTGTAAAATCCTATGTTTTAACTCATTACGGATGGTCTTTCCAATGAGATCTTTTTTATGCATATGACAATAATGTTAACCAAAATTACGCACATGAAATACTTAGAACGTTTCGAGTCTCATCCACTCATTCTAAATCATTGCCGAAAAAAAATCAGGAATTAAAATAGAAATCCTCCCCAGTGGAGTCGCCAAAAACTGTAGGGAATAATTTCAAGCGCTAACCCCTAGCTTGAACACCACTGTGATCATACACTAAAGTACGGTGGCGTCCAAAAGGAAAGAAGATAGAGCAAAAGAGTCGCCAATAAGTTTTTTAAGGAACTTGTAAACCGTTCACGAGGTGAAGGTTACACCCTTTAACGATCCAAGAGATCGTCAACTCCATAAGGTCTTGAACCAAATAGGGTTCGGGGATGAAGGTAAAAATCCAACCTAATAGAGATTGAACCTGCCCTAATAATAGGCCTCTACTTTATTCTGATCGTATTCATGTGCGCTTTTTGACTAACATGCAATCAATAGGATTAACCCTAAACCTGTTTATTTATGTTGGTTGAATATAATGCACAAACAAATCTATTATTGGTGATCACTTGAATTATAATCAAATTAACCCCAAATAAGATTATTAATTATCTTATTGAGCGTGATTACAAGTACAAATTCCCTTTAAACGTGCATAAAAGGTATGATCAAGCAATAACAATAAAAATAATCAAGCAACATAATAATCATCATAATAATAATAATAATTAAAATAATCATGTTAAAGCATAATAATAGCAAGATCCTATGCATGATACTAACAAGATTAATAACAAACCCTACCATGTCACTAAGCATTAAAAATCAAATCTTTAACCCTAACATGATACTAACAATCATAAATATTAGGAAGAACATAAAAGGCATCATAGCAATCATACTTAGTATTAAAGTTACCCTAGACATGATACTAGAAATATCAAAACGCCCTAACATAACATTAGGAATCATAACAACAACCTAAGCATGATTTCTATATCATAATAACAATAAAAACCTTTAAAGCACTTACTTGGATGCCTCGTACCTCTTTCTAATAACAAAATACACGCGTTAGTAGCTTCAAGGAAAATGATAATTAAACAATCAAATCAAATAATTGAAATAGAGATTTGGGACCAAACCCTCAGAAATTAAACCTTTCACGTCTAGGGCGAAGGCAACTTCGAATATGGCTAGGTGTATCTAGATCTAATGAATGCGGAATTTTTGTATGTGAGAGAAACTAGTTTAGAAAAAGAGAGAGAGAGAGAGAGAGAATCTAGATGAGAGTTGGTGAAAATAGATTATTGAAGAGAATAAGAGAGAATTGTTGATGAAAACTGGTTATCGAAAACGGAGTTTTTACGACGTTATTTATAGAGAAAATCAACCAAAAAAAGATAAGATATCAAAACAGAGTCTGGCGCACCTAAAACTGAATTAGCGCCAATGCTGGCTAATGGCACCAGGCGCCAAGCGTAGCGCCAGGCGCTACAGCTGGCGTTTGGCGCTGATTCAGAAAATTACGCGTTTTCTTAAAATCAGATAAAAATTTCCGTACAGGAGGATAAAATCGTATTTCCCCTCAAAAATGCTCTTTAATTTTAATTAAAACTCTGAAAAGTCAACAAAAGTCAATTTATCATTGCTAATTGAATTAGGGATGAAAAGAACCTTCTAGAAGAATCTAGAAGACTAAAACTATTCCTAATTGCATTAGGAATGATAAATCTATATTAGGCCCTCCTCTAGATCATTGGGCCGCATATAAGGCTCAAACCGGGCCCAGTTTAGTAAATTGGCGATAACTTCCTTAATATTCATCGGAATTGGCTCATAATATATCGTTGGAAAGCTCTTGTCAAGCCCCTATCCAACTACACCACTATTGGACCCATATCATGGACCAACCAAACTGGATTGGCTGTTTTCTTAAAATAAGTTTTCAAAAACAGAAAGAAAAGAAAAGAAATTAAAACTATCCGCAACACTGGACTTTCCACACTTTCACTTCATTCGATTATGATTCGACGCGAAAGGTACTCATCACTGGGTTTGGTTTTGGGGGGACACAATTGGGTGTCTACAGCTTTTCATGACTTGTGTGAGAACTCCAAAATTTTCAATGAAAATTAATGGATCTATGAATGGTTTTTTCAATGAAATAAGAGGGCTTAGGCAAGGAGATCCTCTTTCTCCTCTACTGTTTGTTCTTTGCATTGAATACTTGTCAAAGATTCTGAAAGTGATGAGCACTAAATCTAATTTCAAGTTTCACCGAAGGTGTAAGGCTGTTGGTCTTACTCACCTTTGTTTTGTTGATGATATGATTTTATGTTATAGAGGTGAGCTGAATTAAGTGAATTTAATGATGAGAGGGTTTAATGCTTTCTCCAGAGCAACTATTTTACAAGCTATCCCTGAGAAAACTGCAGTATACTGTGCTGGAATGACTAAGGGTGTTCTGTAAGAAATCCTGGGCATGACAGGGTTTAGTAAAGGCAGCCTTCCTTTTGAATACTTGGGTGTTCCCATATGTTCTAAAAAGTTAACTGCTGTTGAGTTAAGCACCTGGTAGATAAAATGTGTAGAAGGATTAGAATTTTGGGGTCCAAACATATGTCTTTTGCAGCTAGATAAGTCTTGGTGAATTTTGTTTTAATGAATATCCTAGTTTACTAGGCTCAAATCATGATATTGTCTAAAGCTGTGTTTGAGAAGGTTAATGGAGTTTGTAGAAACTTTCTATGGTATGGGAGTTTGGTTCAAAAAATTTTATATGTTGCCTGGGATAAAGTTTGTAGGAAGAAAGCAGAGGGAGGTTTAGGCCTGAAGGATGCTGAGACCTGGAATAAAGCATCCTTGGGGAAGGATGTTTGGGCAATAGCTCAAGGAAAAGATAACCTTTGGGTAAAATGGATAATTGTGGTGTATTTAAAAGGGCAGAACTGGTATAACTATAAGCCTAATATGGATTATTGCTGGTATTGGAGGAAGATTTGTAATGTGAAAGATAAAATCAAGAGTGTATATTCTGTCAGTTCTTTTGGGCAAGGCGGATTTCAGATCAGCAAGGTTTATAAGGAACTGATGCAGGATGCTGGAAGATAAAAATGTGACAAGTTAATTCGGGAAAGATTAGCTATCATAAAGCATCAGTTCTATAACATTGTTTGTTATCCATGGCAGATTATTGACTAGGGACAGATTGTAGCAGTTTGGTGTAACTTCCTCTGTTGAGTTCGGCCATGTGGTGCACAAACTGAGTCTCATGCTCATTTATTCTTTGACTGCTTTAATAGTAGAAGAATCTGGGATGAGATTAGCAGCCGTATTGGTGCTCCAAGCAGAGGTTATAGTCTGCAAAATGCTGTCAGAAGAACAAGGTGTTGCAAGCATGGGTTCAAGCAATGTCTGCTTAGAGTCTGCACTTTAGCAGATGTGTATTGGATATGGAAGGTTAGTAATGCTGCATTTTGGGAGTCTAAGGTGCTGTGCATACATACAGTTGTTAAGTTTGTAAAAAGAGAAATTAGAGATAAATTGTTAACTGTATAGTCGAATAGAATCAATAGTGTAGATAGGAATTGGTTACAAGAGCAAGTTGTATAGGTTGGCTCTGATTTTTTTTGTTTAGGCAGTTTATTCTGCCAGTGAGTTCTGCTCCCTTGTTAGGGGCTGGTTAGTAAAATATTTTTGGAGCAGAAAAACCCAATTTGATTTAATAGAATTTAAAGCAGAAAAACGACTAAATGGGAAAAAGAATCTCACCAGTGCTTGTCAATAATTGTCTAATATCTTGTTCAATCAACATACTCTAGGAATCTACGGTCCAAATTTGACAAAATCTAGAGCAACTTCATTATTTTGAAAATTAAGTTAACAATTAGCTACAAAACGCACCAAAAGTTGTATTAGAAAAATAACATAAAATAAACCCGAAATCAATAGATTTCTATTCTAAAAAAAAATCAGCATACATTTGTGTTCCATTTGGTGATTAATAATTGACAGGATTAGCAATTGAACACTAGAGAAGGGCGTTAAAGAGAAAGGATTTGGAAAAGCGGAGGAGGAAAAAGCCGAGAAATGAGAGTGAAGAATGCGATGGCGAAAAGTTTTGAATAAAAACCCCTGCAAATTAATACACTAGTACAAAACTAACCTCAAGTAACGCCCAAAATGTGTATCACTTTGGGAACGTATGGTAACACTTTTAAAAGTGTTACCATAACCCCTCTTATGTAACACTTTTTATATTATTTGTATCATTTTTAAAGTGTTACCAATTATTTCGTATGTAACACTTACTTATCTTTGCCAACATTTTTCAATCACCTAGTAACACTTTATTTGACTTTATGTATCACTTTTCCAAGCTAATGTATCACCTTGTCGATAATTAGGTAACATTTTTCAATCATCTTTTAAGATATAATAACACTTTATTTGAAATTATGTATCACTTTTTGCAAATCAGAGTAACACCTTCTCAATTAATAAATAACATTTATTATTATTTTATTTTTTATCATTATTAATACAAATACTAAGATACAATGATTATTGTTTAAAATATGGAACCTTTTATTTTGTAAATATATAAATATATATATATATATATATATATATATATATATATATATATATATATATATATATATTTACATGTTTAACAACCACAAATGTAAAATTAACATATACGATAGACAAAAATTTAAATTGATATATAATTTTATAGTTTCTTAAAAAAAATCCATAAACACCAATTTGTTTGTTTGGCTAAACAATCTAATAATTAAAACAAAAAGAAACTCAACTTCATTCTCTAGATCAGACCACCAAATTCCAAAATAGAAAACGCAAAATAAGTAAGCTTAGTAGCAAACAGATAGCAGTAACAGCGTGTAGATAGCAGCGGCTTATAATAGCGCCCATATTAGTAGCTAACAGAAGACAGCAGCACTAGGCCAGCAGAGAGAAGTAGCAGAAGACGACGGTGACATCAGCAGGCATTAGTGACATCATCACATCAGCAAGTAGCAGTAACAAGCCTGTAGAATTAGAAACCAACAATAATCAATATTCTACCTTTATTGAAATAAAAGGAAGACATCAAGGCTAATATCTAAAATGAAATAAAAGTGGTTTATAACACGTATCTCATCTAAAAGAATTCAGGTCCATTACTCACACACTATTGAAAGACAATAAAAAAATTAAAGAAGCAAAGTTAGGAGTTCAATCCATATATAATTGGCAGATTAGATTGTAAAATCTCTCTTTCCTTTTATTACTTTAGTTTTTTGAAGGGATGACAAAGGTTAGTTTAGGGTATTTAAGAACTTTAAATGTAGTAGTTATGGACAAAATTAGCAATTCTTGATATAATATATACTCTCTAAGAAAACCAATTACACAGCCTGAGTTATTAGGTGAGTGAGGAGTGACTGTGTGAATTAAAACTTCAACAACAGATTCAGGTAAGAAACAAGACAAATGGCAGCACCAACATCTACTATAGTTGTAGTAAATGGGTTTACCTCGCCTTTCTTTTTAGGTGGAAATAAGAGCAGTAGTCATTCGATTGTAGCTAGTATGTGGTTGTGGCTGTGGCTGGTGCAACTGCTTCTAAGAAGTCATGGATTCCTACTACTAAATGGGTTTTTGCCTCACTTTTTATATTTTTGTGTTCGCCCCATTAGAACAAGTTGGACAAATATAGAACATATATATTACACTCAAAACAGATTGTTAGATTTTAGTTTGGTAAGTGAAAATATTAATAAATAAAGAAAATGAAAGGGAATTCACAAGTAACATATGATATTCTACAACAAAAAAAGGTAACATCGAACATTACCATACTCAAGTGCACCTAAAGGTGATCAATGGGCGGGCCGGGTCGAGGTCAAAAATATTTGCCCATTTCTTGGGCCGGGTCGGATCGCGCCAAGCTTTGGTCCAGAAAACGTGTGCCCAAACTCGCCCAAACTAGTCGGCCCATACGAGCTTTTCGGGCCAAATTTGGGTTGGGCCAAAAAAATCAACTAAAAATGCAAAAATCCATTTCCCAAACCCGTCCAATCTTTTTTTAAAATCGGACTGGGCCAGACCCAACCCGATTTCGTGCCGGAAAATTCTGCCCAAAACCCGCCCAAAATCGGGCCGGGCCAGCAGGCCGGGCTCAATGTGATCAGCTCTAAGTGCACCTAAAGCCTAACATGCATGTCCTCCTCGTCAATAAGATCTTTAAACTTTAGAAATAGGAGTTTCTAAACCTAGGCTAGATTTGACCCAAATCAAGAAATTTGTGAGGTCATGTGGTTGTGAGTAATGGAATCTGAAATGTATACAGAGCCTAAATCTCTTATAGTATTAATATCATTCAACTGTAGCCAGGTAGATTTCTAGCAGTAGAAATGGCAAAAGCTATGCAAAACGCAAAATGTAATCACACTATTAAGAACCAAAAAATGGGCAATATTAATTCCAGCTTACTAAAGAAACAATACAGAAAAATAAATATCAGTAAAATATTATCTCACTATTATGAACTCGATTTAACAACCAATGCATTATAAGACTTTAGCCCTAGTACAAGGAAAAAACTATACACGGAATCCAAAAAAAGGTAAGTGTTCATTAAGGATAATCACTTTGAAAAATGCAATGAAAAAAAGAGCCGAATTCTGAATAAAAACCTGAGATAACACCACTAATTGAAGTTTGTTGAATCTTGAATGACATATTTACTAGCAGATAGTTCAGGTGGAAATTGAAAACCAAAAGCAAATTCTTCTAAATAGATTTTATATCAAGTTATTAACATTCCACAACAAGAAGCAAACATATTAGCTTTTAGAATGCACTCACGGGTGTATCTTTAAGTGCTTGCAGCTTAGCAACCAAATCCCATATATAACAAGAGAAATATGGTTAGAAAATATTTAATTCAGAGCTGGTAATGGAATGATGAAAAGGCACTTCACAAAGCAATCAACTTTTAAATATCTTCTTGTAGAATAACTTTGAGATTTTCAATTGATGTCTGCTACTAACAAATAAGGATAATGTTAAATTCTAAAATAGACAACGTTCAGCATTATAGATAATTAGATTACCCTTAACTACCTCTGACTAAAACAATTAAGATAAACTTACCCTTGAGTAATCACGTATCACAAACATTAAAGTTGAAAAAAAAAAACAAATAGTAATTACTGCTTGTGCAATCTTTACATCAATTAATCTACAAGAACACTTGCTAAAGGTTTGATATAGCAAAAACAAAGAGAAATAAATATAGGAAACAATGTTTCACTTATAAAGTCTTCGATAGAGGCCTATTCATTGCTTGCTCATGCAATATGTCATATACATCAATTGTAGATTACTAATATGTCATATTCATCAATTGTAGATTACTGAGCAAATTGACATATAAACAATTTTTTTTTTAAAAAGGTTAAACAAATCAGGTAAGCAGAAAAATTAGACTATGTACTTACATGTTTATAAGCACTATATCGGACATAACAAGGGAAAATAAATCACTTTGTTTTTCAAAAGTTGTATCATCCTAGACATGCAAGATGTCAAGTAGAAGATTTCCGCAATGGGTTTAATCTATTTACACTTCACTATAATAGTTGATACACAACATCCTTACTCCAATTAAATCAAATTTACAACATCAAATCAAGCAACAAGATGTTTCCAATCAAGATGAGGCACTTAAAAACTACAAGTGCCTTCATCATCCCGCTCCATGGAAGGCTTAATCTCATCTTCATCCTCCTATTTGAATCCAAACTCAAATTCAAACCATAATCCTAACAATTTGAATCCTAACCAAAAATTTGAACCTAATCCTAAAAACTTGACAGCAGCAAGCATTAATCAAAGAAATAAAAAGCAAGTAATTGCAAAGCAAAAAAACAAAAAAAAAAAAAAAAAAAAAAAAGCAAAATCCCCAAATTCACGGTACATAACCGTCGTTTATATGTATCATTAAATCAAAAAATAAAACAAGACCCCCAAAATCAAAACCCAAATTCATAAATTAAACAAATAAATAGCCCTAAATCTAAAAAAAAAAAAAAAAAAAACTTACAATTGGAGGTGCCTATGGTGCCAATAGGTAGTGGTGGTGCGGCTTCGATTGAGGTAGAGGTAGAGGTGAAGGTGGCTACTTGGCGTCGGCTTGAGCGAGGTTGTAGAAGACATTGTTCACCTATGCTTCGAGGAAAGGAAAAGAAAAAGAGGGGGTAGATTGAATTGAATGAAGGAATTCCTTGAATGAATAATACGTAGTATGAAGTAAAGATAAAGCTTTAAGTGAAAGTAAAGACACTAGCAAAAGAAGAGATAAAGCTTTAAATAAAAGTAAAGACACTAGCGAAAGTTTTTTTTTATTTGTATTTTTTTTATATAGATGTTATACCACTTATACGAGTATAAGACACTAGCAAAAATGATACTTAATGAGTGATACTTAAGCTCTATTTTTTTTAAATTTTTTTTTTAAAAAAAATATATTAATGAGTGATACGTAATAATATCAAAGGTATTACAATAAAGTGATATTTAATGTCAAAGTCTTACAATAAAGTGTTACTTAATGTCAAAGTGTTACATTAATGTGTTACTTAATTTCAAAGTGTTACAATAAAGTGTTACTTAATGTCCAAGTGTTACTTATGACTTAGTTAAATTTCTAGCCATGAAAATGATACCATGGGGTGTTACCTTATATCATTTTTTTACTAGTGACAGTATTAATAATAATAAAAAAAATGATGTTAAAAATAAATATCATTAATTCTTTTGCTGCAAATTAAAATAAATGCAACAAATAAGTAGCAGCAAATAAATATTTTTCTTGTAGTATAACACATTATTTGAGTCGCATGAAGTTAACCTAGCAACAAAAAATAACTAATTGTATCGGGCATAGTTTGACTGCTACAAATAGGTCATCAATTGTAATAGACAAACTAACAAAGTTTTTGAAACTAAACCCCACGTGTTAGAGTTTTATACCGAGTTAACACAAAAAGAAGGAACAAAACTTTCCAACAATTCAGATAAGTTATTGAACTTTTCCAAGTTGCAAATATGGTGCTTAATAGATAATCAAGTCATCTTACATGTTCCAACGGCTAATAAAGTATAAAAAATTGAAAAATATTCATTTTTTAGAAACTAAGAACTCTTTCTTTTTCTCTTCAATAATATAAACTCTTAAGTGAATCCTCCACTAAAGTAGCTTTAGAGTTTTCTCTCCATTGAAGCAGTTTTTAGGTAAAGATACACTTATATTTAATCGACAAATATTAATTTCAACCTAATGATTAAAACAAGGAATGATAAACATTGAATTGAGAGTTAACATACAATAATTGCCAACAAGCAGGATGAATCATAATGTATAATTCTTTGATTTTTCGTTCTAATAATTTTTTAATTTATGGTAAATCCTTATATATTTAATTATTTCAACTCAGTTTTAATTAGTGTATCAAGAAAGAGATTGAATGTGCGACCTATAACTTTGTTTCTTTATTCCCTATTATATACTTTTTCTTGGCTTTTTTATTCTAATTAATATTTGGGTCTTTTATTATAAACTTTGAATCATATGACATAATATAATTTCCTAAAACTTGAATTGGATAGTTCCATGGGAAAAGATTACATCTTCATAATTATCAATAAGCAAATTAACTAACAGTTTGGTTTGACTTGTAATTATGAATATGCTTAAATAAACTAACCAAGTAATAAAGAACTTTTCTTAATTAATTTATTAATTAATTTGAGCTAATGAATATGCCTAAAATTGAGTCATAGTTCCTTTGAGTCAACCCGGATTTTTATTCCCATATATTGCACAAATGTCAACTTGTTTTGGTGATATCATGCGTTCTAGGAAGATTTACGAGTCGTAGAAACTATGGATCAATAGCCCCGAGATTTATCTTTCATTTGGAGTTTGTTTCATTCAATTTGAAGTCACAGACAAAAAGTTATGACTAAAATACTACAGCCTGTCCAGTTCGGTGCACATACGTGAAGTCTTATCTTAGTCCTTAATTAAGTCTAGTCACATAGTCTAGTCCCATGGTCATGACACGAGTCAAACATGTCACCTACACTCACTAGCCTTAGAACACATTTTGTGTATATGTCATCATGAACATGTCTTAGGTTCATGCATGAGTCGTTTTTTTCGTCAATTGAGTTGGGGGTACATGCTATTCCTAATTTTTTCATATATCTCCATCTACATCATCTTTTCCCTCTCTACAAGATTTATCCATACCTATTATTCTCCTCTTTCTTCCATGATCTTTTCCCATTTATTGTATATAGAGCTTGAGTCAAAAAATTAACAATAAGTATCCTTGATTTTCCTTTTTACAGCACTTGGTCAAGGAGAGAAGGGAGATTAATCAAGGATAACACCTTTGTTCAAGTACTACTTTTTGACAAACCAGTTAAGAAAAGCTAAGAAGATAATGGCGTCTCAGGAAGAAGTCAACGAACTTAGGAAGGACATGGCCAACTTAACTGAATTGATGAAGAGTATGGCTCTTTAAATCAATGACCCTGTGAAGCAACAACAAGTGGAGCTCATGCAAGAAAGCTTAAGCAAAATATCCAATGGTTATAGATTCCAGGGCATTAGCTTACAAGGGGTCTCACTAGAGAAGGAACTTCTTCCACAAAAGTTTGGTGCCAATGTCATCCCTAAATTTAAGCCAACTGACAATCCTTACTTTCACTTATGAGGTTTCGAGACTATAATGAACATTAAGGGATTGATAGGAAGATTTTTCATTCTTTATTCTCACTATCTTTAGAAACCGTTTGTCTACAATGGTTCTTTCCTCTTGAAAAAGAGAAAACCTCTTCTTAGGATTCCATAATAAACACTTTCATAGATAGATATAAGTGCAACATTCAAGATGAAAAAAATAATAGACAACTTGAGATGCTAAAGCAAAAAGAAAACGAAGGGTTCACTTCTTTCTTCAACAAATGGAGGGAAACTTCTACTAATATGGTTAAGATTCCTACTGAAAAATAGTTTTTAAGGATGTTCATCAAGAATCTTCAAGAAAAAAATGCAAAGCACTTAAAATACCAACACAACTTGAATACTTTCAAGGCTATCTATAATATAGGCATTGACATTGAAGACGATCTTTTGAAAGATAATAATGCGAAAGGGAAGAAGAACGACCATCCTTTTTCTTCCTCCCCCATTAAAGAAGTACATGCTACGAACACCTCTAAACAACGAATCCAAAGGTGGAAAAGAGTGTTCACTCCACTCGGTATGAGTTATGAGGCAGCTTTCGAAAAGCTACATCACAAAGGACTCGTCATGCCCATAGGACCCATCAAAGACCCGGTTTAAGAAGCTATCTCACCTTAGTGGGATCCTAATAAACACCGCAAGTATCACCAAGGAAAGGGTCACGACACTAAGTAGTGTTGGAAAATCAAATAAGCTATTCAAGACCTGATCGATGACAATTAAACTTTCGAGATTCTAGCAATCGCAGAAGATCACACATCCTTCGATTCTTCACTCCTTAACACACCTGTAGGTGAGCCCATGATCGAGATAGCTTATATAACCTCTATTGATGAAGTGTTCATGGTTAAGGAGGATGAAAGAATCTTCTTAGATAATACCGGGGAAAATTTGTCAAGTCTAAAAGAAGACGTTCAAAAACTTCAAGATGTCATTGCCATGCTCTTGAATGTGGTAGAAAGACTAGCAAATCGGATGATGGTTATTGAACAAAATTCTCACCAAGGATTTAATGAAAAACTTAATGCTCCTAAACCACGGGCAAAACAAACCATTGAAGAATACACACCAATAGAAATGACGTATGATGAAGCTTTTGACTATCTTCATCATCAAGGTCTCATTCATCCCGTTGGCCCCATTCACGATCAACCACCTGAGAAATGATCTCCCAATTGGGATCCAACTCTTATTGGAAATATATCATTTAGGCCATGGTCACACCACCTAAAAGTTTTTTACCCTCAAGGATCTCATTGATTCACATCACCTTCATGTTCCTCTAAGAAATAGGAAGGCCAAGAATAGTAACAATAATAACAGTGGTTGGAAAGAAAAGAAGAACAACAATCCTTATTCTTCAAAAACTACCCACTCAAACTACGTTAGCATGTTTAACTTGGATGAGGTCCTTTCCATGAAAAAACGAGGGACAAAGAGAAATTTCACACCTATTTGCAAAAGTTATGACACAACATTCGATCGCCTTCATGCTAAAGGTATCATAACTCCTATTGGACCATTTGAAGATCCACCACTCGAAAGGAGGACGACTAGCTGGAACCTCAATACACACTACAAATACCATTAAGGTAGGGGTCATACTTCTGAGAGCTGTTGGAAGCTAAAAGAGGCCATCCAATACTTGATCGATAATAACAAGCTTCCCATACCTCCGGATAGCAAGAACACCAAGTGATACTAAGAGCGCAAAACATGAGGCGAGCTTCAACGACAAGATTTCATGACCTCTTTTTCTATTTCTTTTATTCATCCTTTCCCCAATAAGTCTAGCATAGGCACCTTTTATTTTACTTATATCTTATTTTGTTAGGGTTTTCCTTTTTACCTTTTAATAAAATGAGTATTTCTTTCTTGTATATGATCATTACATTGCATTAAAAAAAATAAAAAATAAAAAAATCTATGTCGAACTAAGCACAAGGTATACTTATGATTAGAGGCACCCCTTGTAGCCATATCATATAACCTTTCACCTTTCAAATATACAATCATCTCTTGTCAAACCACTTTCAGCCTCGTCTAACGATAGACCTTTATTTTTTCGACCCATATCTACTTAACCTTGGGATGGAATGGTGAAGAAACCTCAAGCATACAAATACTAATATTAAAAAGCAAGGTTGCACACCTTGGTGGCTAATCTAATGTCTTGAGCATTTATCCCTTTCTTCTTCCATCTTTAGCCTAACCACGTTACAACCCTTAAAAGACCTCTTTGAGGCATACACATACTTGTGCGAGGTTCGGCTAGAGCTACGTTCGGCCTGATTCCTAATGGATACGAAGGCAACCTCACATTGGGGTGCATCCATAATAAAAATGCATTAATATTTACTCTCGTAATTGATCATATAAAGGGATCTCCTATTCTCTTCCCTATCCATTAAGACCTAGACTTGGGTGCTTGATCATTACATCATTAGCTTACCTAGCCTAAGAGTCACCATCATTTGACTATTCTTGAAATAATATCTTTCCATATATTTAGCCTTGGTAGCCTAACTTTAGTATCACTTTCACACATATCACAGATACATGACCAAATAATCTTACCTATAGGAACCCTTTGCCATGAAATCTTAACACAACGTTAAAGCATGCATGCCTTGTAATATCAAAATCACACATCGGTGTAATCAACAT